CAGTAGACGATGTCAATGGAGACGGCAAACTCGACATTATTGTCCCACTTTATAGTTCAGGCAAAGTTGGTGTTATATTATCTGGTTGCGAATGATCTTCAAATTAAACGCTATATAACGAATGATTTATAATAAATGACCTGTTTTTCTATTTCTTTTTCTTCTTATCGTGTATGTTTATTTTAAAACCAAAATATATTAAGAGGTGTAGCAGAGACGTCCATCGCGGCGAGGTAGCGGTAATTTTTTTAACGGCGCGTCGCGGTAGTGGCAGATTCTCAATCGCGATGAACATCTCTGAGATGTAGTATGAAAATCACTATAATTTACATACGATAGCTATTTTTATAGTTGTAATTATTATTTTCGAAAGCGACAAAATTCTGAGCGTCGCAATTTTGACTTTGCACAAGCCATTTGTTTTGGATAAAAGCTGAATTCGTTTTGTCTTACTTTATCTTCTCATAGTTGTTCTTTGTAAACTGTAGAGCTGTTTATGCTGCGTACTTCCTAATAAGAAAAGGGGGTACAAAAATCGACCACTTATTATGGGACATCCGTTAGTATAATAATACTGAACAGAATATACATTTGTAAATATTAAAACTACATAGCACTACTTGCGAAACAGAAACATTCGATACTGCAAGACAAGTACTCAACTGTCATACTCAGTTCTTGACATCGCAGTGGTATTGCTAGATACTTACTAGTTCATGTGGCATTTCCTAGCATGAGTACCTTCACTAGGAAGTTTACATTCGCTTAATAACACATTTAATAGAACAATGATTTATGTATTCGTGAGAGATCGATCATATGACTGGTAAGTAGCGAAATTTATTATTGGAAACGCTCACATAATAAAATCTTTAAGACATTTCTACAGTTATATAAATTAACATAACAAATACTGAAAAAACCGTTGTACCTTTATCGTGTAAATATTAATAAACAGCAATTGCTAGATACGATTTCCTTCTTATTTTTGATATGTTTTAAATGTGTAACGAAGTTCAAGTTCTGTCGCCAACATAAATACTATTCGTCTTGTTTGAACCGTTGAACTTGTTTGATAACGATCCATTCCTATTTTGAGAAATTCAACAATAATCATTTTCTAAAAGAATGTTCAGATGTAAAATATACTAGCGAGAACCTGTGTATACTGCACGGTCGTTTTTGTGTACTCAAAAAGTGAGTACACTCTAGAATCGGTCAGTGTGACCGTCCGGCCGTTTACACGATAACTTTTGAAAGGAGAGTCCGATCACGATGAAATTTTCTACACAGTTTAGTCTCAACAATATCTCGGTTGAGTTCGAAGATGAGCCTAATTGGACGAGCCCTTCCTGAGTTATTGCAAAAATACTGATTTTTCCCTATGGATTTCCTATGTTTTTTCTATGGAAAAATCGATATATTGTCGCTTTCGTAAGAAACTTTTCTATCACAGTCAAATAAAATCCTATTTATTATATACCATTCGATAGAGAATTTCACTAGCTACAAAATGGTATATTATATATAATGAAACAAGAAAGCAAAGTCACATATATGGCAATCATACTTAAGAGAGGGTCCGTGAGGGGACCGCCCAATATAATAAACATGGGCATATGGCAATTTTTAAAGATTGGATTTGCTTTGGCAGAATGAAAGCACATGTTTGAAAACCTATAGAGCCAAATTTTCAGCTCAATTGAACCTTTTTCTAAAGAGTTATGAAGTTAACAGTAGAGATGTCTCAGACTGGCTCTAGGTCAAAGCACCGAACTTTTCGTTTTTGCGGTATTTCGTCAATTTCTCCGCAATGCTTGGAGGTAGCTTTTATTGTAATATCTCAAAAGATAGAGATTTTTTTACTCTATCAAACTGCCTGAACAGATCTGCCTTCCATGCTTTCTCAGATCCGCCGAGCCTCGATATATTGGGTGAGGGCAAGGGGAAAAGTGCTAGCACCCAGCACCCTGGCACCTCAGCACCTGCTCAGCATCTCGGCACCTTTTCAGCACCTCAGCACCTTCTCAGCACCTTTGATACTGAAGGTGCCGAGGTGCTCATATTATAGATCAAAGGTTAAAGGTCAATGGTTAAGGTGCTGACCTTTAACCTTTGAACTCTGATCCTTAACCTTTGACCTTTAACCTTTGGACTATATGTATGAGCAGGGTGTGGGTGTGTGGGTGTGGGTGTGGGTGTGGGTGTGGGTGTGGGGTGTGGGTGTGGGTGTGGGTGTGGGTGTGCGTGTGGGTGTGGGTGTGGGTGTGGGGTAGGTGTGCGTGTAGATGGTCTCTTCAAACACCCACACCCACACCCACGCCTACACTCACACACCCACACACCCACACCCACACCCACACCCACACCCACACCCACACACCCACACCCACACCTACACCCACACCCACACCCACACCCACACCCTAAAGTACGGTAGTCTCGCTTTCTTATCCTTGCTTTTGCGACATTGAATGCTTTTCCGACAACTATATGCTCAAGTAATTAAAAGATTATTTAATTGACTTGTCAAAGATAAAGTGTCGCTCCCACTCTCCCTCTCTCCATTAGTTTTGAAAATAATTCCCCATTATTAATCAACTATGTTTCTATTATTGAATGAATTTATTTCACTCATTCTCTATGAGCACAAATCTTTAAATTCAAATGTTCATAGTTTTAATTGTTGTCGTTTCAATTAGGTGTTATTATAATAAATTGGATTGAAATATAGTGATATACGACTATGGCTGACAATAGTGTTGAATCGAAAACAGCGACTAAAGCATCGAATGAATCCAAACCTTCATCTAGCCGACGTTCACGTACGCAAACTTCCCAAAATCTAGCCTCATCTGTCGCACCCACCTCTGATCAAGATTTACGAGTTTACATAACAGATATACCAACCAACTTTCCAGAAGATGGGCTTGAGGTATTGATAAAAACCCGTATCGAAGCTACCCTACGTTTAAAAGTTAATGATATTAAATGCTACTTAAAACTTGGTATAGATGTAATTCAATTAATGAATGAAGAGCACAAATCATATCTTGTTTCTACTGTTGAATCCGTGGTTCTTGATCCAAAAACTAACACAAACATAACATTTGTCAATGAAGTCGAACTTGATTCTTATATAGTCGTCGATCGATATGTATCGAAAATTCCTTCTACCGATGATGTATCTTGGCATTATATGCAATCATTTAAGACATGCGAACCTCGTCCATGTGAATCGATATCAATCCAGTTTCCAAACATATTTCGTATATCATCATTAACACTAGAAGAACTTGCCAAAGTGGCAAATGCACCAGATTTTAAAATCAACACTGTTTTCGCTGTGGCTTATCCATGTGTTGATTGTAGTTTTTTTGAAGATTTACCACAAAATACCAATGATGACAAGCTTTCATCAGCTGTTGCAGCTCAAATCGAAGAAACAAAACTCGCCCCAACATCCTTCTACGTACAGTATAATAAAGAGACAGACAATGCAGTTGTCTTGGCAACAAAGTCTAACAAAAAATGGATGAAGCAAAATTTCTTAACAATCGAAGGACAACATATTCCGAAAAAAATTAAACTTGCTTATCGAATTGTTGTTTCTCCTGTACCTCCTGATTTTGATGTTGATCTTATCCTTAATCACAAATTATTTGCATATCGAATAGTGAGACATAGTCATATCAAAGATCGTCTCATTATAGAACTCGATGATATGAAGAAATATGAAAAATGCGTAGATATTGGAGCCCTGCGCATAGGAAAAGTGGCCATGAATATTACACCACATAGTATTGCTAATGATCCAGATGCAAGTGAAATTGATGCTGATAACTGGTATGAAACGAAGATGCATGAGATAAAGCCTGATATAGTGACTATCATGAGTGATCATCAACATCCAATATTTCGGTATAAGTGGAATGCAGAAAATTGGCTTGAACACATGAAAAAATTGGATATGACAGATCAACGTTTAGGAAAATATGATCTCGATCGACATTTATTACGAGTTACAGTTATGTTGAATACAATTGGTGTACTTCGAAAGAAAAAGTACATTGTAGACGATGAAGAAGTCACATTAAAACTTCAACGACTGCAAACAATTTGCTATGATCATAGATCAAAATTATTCCATGGAAAAACAATATCTGAAACAGAATTGAAGAAAACACTATATTCATCGACAAGTGTTATCGTATCTAATGAAGATTGTCTTGTTGTTTATGAAAAATTAGTCAGCGAAGGATATCGACCTTTATTATTGAATATGGCTAGTGCAACTCGTCCAGGAGGTGGATATAGAAAAGGAGATGGAGCACAAGAAGAAAACCTTTTTCGTCGTTCAGATTATTATCAAAGTCTTGATCTTGAAGGGTGTGGGTGTGGGTGTGGGTGTGGGTGTGAGTATGGGTGTGGGTGTGAGTATGGGTATGGGTGTGAGTATGGGTGTTGAATGTGGCTGTGGGGCGTGGGTGTGAGTGTGGGGCGTCGGTGTGGGTGTGTGGGTATGGATGTGGATATGAGTGGCATCGAAGGACAGCCGCAGCCACATCCACAGTCCACACCCACACCCACACCATAAATTTTTACTTATATCATTTAATTAATATTTTTAACAAAGCAAGG